CTCCCTTCCTTCCTCCCCGACCCTGCCCTCCCTCACCCTCCCTTCCTTCCTCCCCCACCTGCCCTCCCTCACCCTCCCCTTCCTTTCCCCCGACCCTGCCCTCCCTCACCCTCCCTTCCTTCCTCCCGACCCTGCCCTCCCTCACCCTCCCTTCCTCCCTCCCCGACCCTGCCTCCGTCACCCTACCCCTTTTCCTCCCCGACCCTGCCCTCCCTCAGCCTCTCTTCCTTCCTCCCCGACCCCTCCCTCCCTCACCCTCCCTTCTTCCTCCCCGACCCTGCCCTCCGTCACCCTCCCTTCCTCCCTGACCCTGCCCTCCCTCACCCCCCTTCCTCCCTCCCGACCCTGCCCTCCCTCACCCTCCTTCCTTCCTCCCCGACCCTGCCCTCCTCACCCTCCCTTCCTTCCTCCCGACCCTGCCCTTTCCCTCACCCTCCCTTCCTTCCCCCCCCCGACCCTGCCCTCCGTCAAAACCTCCCTTCCTTCCTACCCGACCCTGCCCTCCCCCACCCTCTCTTCCTCCCTCCCCCACCCTGCCCTCCCTCACCCCTCCCTTCCTTCCTCCCCGACCCTGCCCTCCGTCACCCTCCCTTCCTCCCTCCCCGACCCTGCCCCCCGTCACCATCCCTTCCTTCCTCCCTGACCCCGCCCCCCGTCACCCTCCCTTCCTCCCTCCCCGACCCTGCCCTCCGTCACCCTCCCTTTTCCGTCCTCCCCGACCCGCCCTCCGTCACCTCCCTTTCCCTTTCCCCCCTGACCCTGCCCTCCGTTCACCCTCCCTTCCTCCCTCCCGACCCTGCCCTCCCCCACCCTCCCTTCCTCCCTCCCCGACCCCGCCCTCCCTCACCCTCCCTTCCTTCCTCCCCGACCCTGCCTCCGTCACCCTCCCTTCCTTCCTCCCTGACCCTGCCCTCCGTCACCCTCCCTTCCTTCCTCCCCGACCCTGCCCTCCGTCACCCTCCCTTCCTTCCTCCCCGACCCTGCCCCTCCCTCACCCTCCCTTCCTTCCTCCCCGACCCCGCCCTCCCTCACCCTCCCTTCCTTCCCCCAAATCCCTTTCCCTCCCTCCACTCCCTTTTCTCCCTCCCCGACCATGCCCTCCATCACCCTCCCTTCCTCCCTCCCCGACCCTGCCCTCCGTCACCCTCCCTTCCTTCCTCCCCGACCCTGCCCACCCTAATCCTCCCTTCCTCCCTCCCCGACCCTGCCCTCCCTCACCTCCCCTTCCTCCTCCCCGACCCTGCCCTCCGTCACCCTCCTTCCTCCCTCCCCGACCCTGCCCTCCGTCACCCTCCCTTCCCCCCCGAAACCCCGCCCTCCGTCACCCTCCCTTCCTTCCTCCCCGACCCTGCCCCCGTCACCCTCCCTTCCTCCCTCCCCGACCCTGCCCTCCGTCACCCTCCCTTCCTTCCTCCCCGACCCTGCCCTCCGTCACCCTCCCTTCCTTCTTCCCCGACCTGCTCTCCGTCACCCTCCCTTCCCCACCCTCCCCCACCCTGCCCTGCGTCACCCTCCCTTCCTCCCTCCCCGACCCTGCCCTCTCTCACCCTCCCTTCCTTCCTCCCCGACCCTGCCCTCCCTCACCCTCCCTTCCTTCCTCCCCGACCTGCCCTCCCTCACCCTCCCTTCCTTCGTCACCGACCCTGCCCTCCCTCACCCTCCCTTCCTCTCTCCCCGACCCTGCCCTCCGTCTCCCTCCCTTCCCCCCTCCCCGACCTGCCTTCCGTCACCCTTTCCCCTTCCCCCCTCCCCGACCCTGCCTCCGTCACCCTCCTTCCTTCCCCCCCCGACCCTGCCCTCCGTAACCCTCCCCTTTCCCCCCCTCCCCGAACCCTGCCCTCCGTCAACCTCCCTTCCTTCCTCCCCCACCCTGCCCCTCCGTTCACCCTCCCTTCCTTCCTCCCCGACCCTGCCCTCCGTCACCCTACCTTCCTCCCCTCCCCCACCCTGCCCTCCGTCACCCTCCCTTCCTCCCTCCCCGACCCTGCCCTCCGTCACCCTCCCTTCCTTCCTCCCCGACCCTGCCCTCCCGTACCCTCCCTTCCTCCCTCCCCGACCCCGCCCTCCGTCACCCTCCCCTTCCTCCCTCCCCGAACCCTGCCTCCCTCACCCTCCCTTCCTCCCTCCCCGACCCTGCCCCTCCCTCACCCTCCCTTCCTCCCTCCCCCACCCTGCACTCCGTCACCCTCCCTTCCCCCCCGACCCTGCCCTCCCTTCCTTCCTCCCCGGGCCTGCCCTCCCTCTCCCTCCCTTCCTCCCTCCCCGACCTGCCCTCCCTCACCTCCCTTTTCCTCCCTCCCCGACCCTGCCCTCCGTCACCCCCCCTCCCTCCCCGACCCTGCCCTCCCTCTCCCTCCCTTCCTCCCTCCCCGACCCTGCCCCCCTCACCCCTCCCCTTTTCCTCCCCCGACCCTGCCCTCCGTCACCCTCCCTCCCTCCCCCGACCCTGCCCTCCGTCACCCTCCCTTCCCCCTCCCCGACCCTGCCCTCCGTCACACTCCCTTCCCCCCTCCCGGACCCTGCCCTCCGTCACCCTCCCTTCCTCCCTCCCCGACCCTGCCCTCCGTCACCCTCCCCTTCCTCCCTCCCCGACCCCGCCCTCCCCCCACACTCCCTTCCCTCCTCCCCGACCCTGCCCTCCCTCACCCTCCCCTTTTTCCTCCCCGACCCTGCCCTCCCTCACCCCCCTTCCTCCCTTCCCGACCCCCGCCCTCCCTCACCCTCCCTTCCCCCTCCCGGACCCTGCCCTCCGTCACCCTCCCCTTTCCCCCCCGTCCCTGCCCTCCCTCACCCTCCCTTCCTCCCTCCCCCACCTTGCCCTCCCTCACCCTCCCTTCCTCCCTCCCCCACCCGCCCTCCCTCACCCTCCTTCCTCCCCTTCCCGACCCTGCCCTCCGTCACCCCCCCCTTCCTCCCTCCCCGACCCTGCCCTCCGTCACCCTTTCTTCCTCCCTCCCGACCCTGCCCTCCTCACCCTCTCTTCCTCCCTCCCCGACCCTGCCCTCCGTCAAACTCCCTTCCTCCTTCCCGGAAAACCCTGCCCTCCGTCACCCTCCCTTCCTCCCCGACCCCGCCCTCCGTCAACCTCCCTTCCTCCCTCCCCGACCCTGCCCTCCTCACCCTCCCTTCCTCCCTCCCCGACCCTGCCCTCCCTCACCCTCCGTTCCTCCCTTCCCGACCCTGCCCTCCTCACCCTCCCTTCTCCCTCCCCCACCCTGCCCTCCGTCCCCTCCCTTCCTCCTCCCCGACCCTGCCTCCGTACCCTCCCTTCCTCCCCGACCCCCGCCCTCCCCACCCTCCCTTCTTTCCTGCCCGACCCTGCCCTCCCTCTCCCTCCCTTCCCCCCTCCCCCACCCTGCCCTCCCTCACCCTCCCTTCCTTCCTCCCCCACCCTGCCCTCCGTCACCCTCCCTTCCCCCCTCCCCGACCCGCCCTCCGTCACCCTCCCTTCCTCCCTCCCCGACCCTGCCCCCCGTCACCCTCCCTTCCTTCCTCCCGACCCCGCCCTCCGTCAACCCCCCCTTCCTTCCTCCCCGACCCTGCCCTCCGTCACCCTTCCTTCCTCCCCGACCCTGCCCTCCGTCACCCTCCCTTCCTTCCTCCCCGACCCTGCCCCCCGTCACCCTCCCTTCCTTCCTCCCCGACCCTGCCCTCCGTCACCCCCCCTTCCTTTCCCTTTCCCGACCCTGCCCTCCGTCACCCTTCCTTCCTTCCTCCCCGACCCGCCCTCCGTCATCCTCCCTTCCTTCTCCCCCACCCTGCCCTCCGTCACCCCCCTTCCTCCCTCTCCGACCCTGCCCTCCGTCACCCTCCCTTTCCCCCCTCCCCGACCCCGCCCTCCGTCACCCTTCCTTCCTTCCTCCCCGACCTGCCCTCCGTCACCCTCCCTTCCTTCCTCCCGACCCTGCCCTCCGTCACCCTCCCTTCCTCCCTCCCCGACCCTGCCCTCCGTCCACCCCCCCTTCCTCCCTCCCCGACCCTGCCACTGCGTCACCCTCCCTTCCCCCCCCCGACCCTGCCCTCCGTCACCTCCCTTCCTTCCTCCCTGACCCTGCCCTCCGTCACCCTCCCTTCCTCCCTCCCCGACTCTGCCTTCCGTCACCCTCCCTTCCTCCCTCCCCGACCCTGCCCTCCGTCACCCTCCCTTCCTCCCTCCCCGACCCTGCCCTCCGTCACCCTCCCTTCCTTCCTTTCCCCCACCCTGCCCTCCGTCCCCCCTCCCTTCCTTCCTCCCGGGCCCTGCCCTCCGTCACCCTCCCTTCCTTCCTCCCCGACCCTGCCCTGCGTCACCCTCCCTTCCTTTCCTCCGACCTGCCCCCCCGTCACCCTCCCTTCTTCCTCCCCGACCCTGCCTCCGTCACCCTCCCCTTTCCCTTTCCCCCCTGACCCTGCCCCCCGTCCCCCCTTCCTCCTCCCCGCCCCGCCTCCGTCACCCTCCCTTCCTTCCTCCCCGACCCTGCCTCCGTCACCCTCCCTTCCTTCCTCCCGACCCTGCCCTCCGGGCACCCTCCCTTCCTTCCTCCCTGACCCTGCCCTCCGTCACCCTCCTTCTTCCTCCCGACCTGCCCTCCCTCACCCTCCCTTTCCCTTTCCCCCCGACCCTGCCCTCCGTCACCCTCCCTTCCTTCCTCCCCGACCCTGCCCTGCGTCACCCTCCCTTCGTCCCTCCCCGACCCTGCCTCCGTCACCCTCCTTCCTTCCTCCCGACCCTGCCCCCCGTCACCCTCCCTTCCTCCCCCCCGACCCTGCCCTGCGTCACCCTCCCTCCCCTTTCCCCCACCCTGCCCCCCGTCACCCTCCCTTTTCCCTTCCCCCCCCCCGACCCCTGCCCTCCGTCACCCTCCCTTCCTCCCCCTCCGACCCTGCCCTCCGTCACTCTCCTTTCCTCCCTCCCCGACCCTGCCCTCCGTCACCCTCCTTTCCTCCCTCCCCGACCCTGCCCTCCGTCACCCTCCCTTCCTTCCTAACTCCCTTTCAACTTTGCTGCCTCCTTCACTAACCTTGCCGGAAGTAGAAATGCCTCTCCAAAGGGAGAAGTAGCAGATGAGGTAGACAGCCAGGAGGCACAGTGCCAGGTCCCACTTGATCACTCCCAAGTTGTATATCCCAGAGCTCTCTTGTATCTGTAGAACCTCGCGCCTGCAGGAATACACGGGAGAGTGTACGTTAGTTTCTGTACGTAAGTGGGTATTCATCTGTGTACGTGTGTATACACATATGTTTGTGTATAGAAGTGTATATTGAAGTGTGGTGTGTGTGTGTTACAAGCATAGTACCATCACCATTCCACCATCACCATTTCACTATCACCATTTCACCGTAACCACTACATCATCACCACTTCACCATCACCACTCCACTATCACCGCAGTAGCATCATCATCATCATCATCAGCAGCAGCAGCAGCAGCAGCAGCAGCAGCAGCAGCAGACGAGATGTCAGAGTGGGCGCCTGTGACGAGCGGAGCTCTGCAAGGGTCGGTCCTGCGGCCGCTGCTGTTTCTGGTATATGTGAATGAAATGACGGAAGGGATGGAGTCAGAAGTGTTGTTGATAGCAGACGATGTGACGCTAATGCGATGTGAAGCTAATACAGGTAGGACTAAACAAGGATCTAGACAGGCTGCAAGCCTGGTCCAACAACTGGCTCTTGGAGTTTAGCCCTATGAAATGCAAAGTCATGAAGACTGGGGAAGATCAAAGAAGACCACAGACAGAGTTCATGCTACGGACGCCAAAAGCTGCATACCTCACTCGGGGAGTACATCTCCTGAGGCTCACATCAACCAAATAACTGCTGCACCATATGGGCGCCTAGCATACCTGAGAATAGAGTTTCAACACATGAGTAAGGAGTCATTCAAGACTCTATACACTGTGTACGTATATGCAGCATCAGTATGGAGCCCACACCACGTCAAGCACGTCAAGAAAGTAGAGAAAGTACAAAGGTTTACAACAAGACTCCCTGAGCTAAGGGGTATGTCCTACGAGTAGAAGCTAAGAGAAATCAACCAGATGACACTGGAGGACAGTATAAAATACTCAGTATAAAATACTGAGAGAAATTGACAAGATGGATAGGGACAGAATGTTTTAGAGATGAAAGACAGCAACGAAGGGTCACAACTGGAAGTTGAAGACTCAGATGAGTCACAGGGATGTTAGGAAGTATTTCTTCAGTCATAGAGTTGTCAGGAAATAGAACGTTCTGGAGAGTGATGTAGTGGAGGCAGGATCCATACATAGCTTTAAGAATAGACACTATAAAGCTCATTGAGCAGAGAGAGAGTGGACCTAGTTGCGACCAGAAATGAGGCGGGGCCAGGAGCTGTGAATCGACCCTTGCAACTACATATAGGAAAGTACAGCTAGCAGCCTCACCGTAGCACCAGCAGCACAACACAGCAGCAGCAGCAGCAGGACAGCAGCAGCACAGCAGCAGCAACATTGTTCAGTAAGTGGTATAGCTTGTCTGGAGCGAGCAACAGCAGCCCTGAATATAAGCAGCGGTAAGAATGTTCCCAGCCTTATAGAGGGCGATAATGGATCACAGGGAGGAGGGGGAGGCGGGGGTCTTATTAATAGTCTCTCCGGGGGTCATGCTGAAGAAGGGGAGAGTGTTGGAGGGGCCAAGCTTTGCGGAGAGTGCTGGAGGAGTCAGGCTGGGGAAGGGAGAGTGCTGAAGCAGTCAGGGTGGGGAAGGGAGAGTGCTGGAGGAGTCAGGCTGGGGAGGGGAGAGTGCTGGAGAAGTTAGGCTGGTGAGGGGAGAGTGCTGGAGGAGTTAGGCTGGGAAGGGGAGAGTGTTGGAGGAGTCAGGCTGGGAGAAGGGAGAATGTTGGAGGAGTCAGACAGGGGAAGGGAGAGTGTTGGAGGAGTCAGGCTGGGGAAGGGAGAGTGTTGGAGGAGTCAGGCTGGGAAAGGGAGAGTGTTGGAGGAATCAGGCTGGGGAAGGGAGAGTGTTGGAGGAATCAGGCTGGAGAAGGGAGAGTGTTGGAGAATCAGGCTGGGGAAGAGAGAGTGTTGGAGGAATCAGGCTGGGGAAGGGAGAGTGTTGGAGGAGTCAGGCTGGGGAAGGGAGAGTGTTGGAGGAGTCAGGCTGGGGAAGGGAGAGTGTTGGAGGAATCAGGCTGGGGAAGGGAGAGTGTTGGAGGAATCAGGCTACAGAAGGGAGAGTGTTGGAGGAATCAGGCTGGGGAAGAGAGAGTGTTGGAGGAATCAGGCTGGGGAAGGGAGAGTGCTGAAGCAGTCAGGGTGGGGAAGGGAGAGTGCTGGAGGAGTCAGGCTGGGGAGGGGAGAGTGCTGGAGAAGTTAGGCTGGTGAGGGGAGAGTGCTGGAGGAGTTAGGCTGGGAAGGGGAGAGTGTTGGAGGAGTCAGGCTGGGAGAAGGGAGAATGTTGGAGGAGTCAGACAGGGGAAGGGAGAGTGTTGGAGGAGTCAGGCTGGGGAAGGGAGAGTGTTGGAGGAGTCAGGCTGGGGAAGGGAGAGTGTTGGAGGAATCAGGCTGGGGAAGGGAGAGTGTTGGAGGAATCAGGCTGGAGAAGGGAGAGTGTTGGAGGAATCAGGCTGGGGAAGAGAGAGTGTTGGAGGAATCAGGCTGGGGAAGGGAGAGTGTTGGAGGAGTCAGGCTGGGGAAGGGAGAGTGTTGGAGGAGTCAGGCTGGGGAAGGGAGAGTGTTGGAGGAATCAGGCTGGGGAAGGGAGAGTGTTGGAGGAATCAGGCTACAGAAGGGAGAGTGTTGGAGGAATCAGGCTGGGGAAGAGAGAGTGTTGGAGGAATCAGGCTGGGGAAGGGAGAGTGTTGGAGGAATCAGGCTGGAGAAGGGAGAGTGTTGGAGGAATCAGGCTAGAGAAGGGAGAGTGTTGGAGGAATCAGGCTGGAGGAGGGAGAGTGTTGGAGGAATCAGGCTGGGGAAGGGAGAGTGTTGGATGAATCAGGCTGGGGAAGGGAGAGTGTTGGAGGAATCAGGCTGGGGAAGGGAGAGTGTTGGAGGAATCAGGCTGGGGAAGGGAGAGTGTTGGATGAATCAGGCTGGGGAAGGGAGAGTGTTGGAGGAATCAGGCTGGGGAAGGGAGAGTGTTGGAGGAATCAGGCTGGAGAAGGGAGAGTGTTGGAGGAATCAGGCTGGAGAAGGGAGAGTGTTGGAGGAATCAGGCTGGAGAAGGGAGTGTTGGAGGAATCAGGCTGGAGAAGGGAGAGTGTTGGAGGAATCAGGCTGGAGAAGGAGAGTGTTGGAGGAATCAGGTTGGAGAAGGGAGAGTGTTGGAGGAATCAGGCTGGAGAAGGGAGAGTGTTGGAGGAATCAGGCTGGAGAAGGGAGAGTGTTGGAGGAATCAGGCTGGAGAAGGGAGAGTGTTGGAGGAATCAGGCTGGAGAAGGGAGAGTGTTGGAGGAATCAGGCTGGAGACGGGAGAGTGTTGGAGGGGTCGGGCTGGGGAAATTTTTTTAGGGTGATGTTAGAAAGTGTTATTAGCAACACAATTCCGCCCCTCCCCGCCTCTCCCCATCACTCCCAGCCCCTCCCCGCCTCTCCCCATCCCTCCCCGCCCCTCCCCGTCTTCTCCCCATCCCTCCCCGCCCCTCCCCCATCCCTCACTTACCTCCTTTACCTCTTCCCTCTATGCCTCTATCTGCCGTCTCATTATTTGCCACACCCCTTCTGTCCTGCACACCCCTTCTCTCCTGCCCACACCCTTCTGTCCTGCACACCCCTTCTGTCCTGCCACACCCCTTCTGTCCTGCCACACCCCTTCTGTCCTGCCACACCCCTTCTGTCCTGCCACACCCCTTCTGTCCTGCCACACCCCTTCTGTCCTGCCACACCCCTTCTGTCCTGCCACACCCCTTCTGTCCTGCCCCACCCCTTCTGTCCTGCCCCACCCTTCTGTCCTGCCACACCCCTTCTGTCCTGCCACACCCTTCTGTCCTGCCACACCCCTTCTGTCCTGCTACACCCCTTCTGTCCTGCCACACCCTTCTGTCCTGGCACACCCCTTCTGTCCTGCCACACCCTTCTGTCCTGCCACACCCCTTCTGTCCTGCCACACCCCTTCTGTCCTGCCACACCCCTTCTGTTTTGCTACACCCCTTCTGTCCTGCCACACCCCTTCTGTCCTGCCACACCCCTTCTGTCCTGCCACACCCCTTCTGTCCTGCCACACCCCTTCTGTTCTGCCACACCCCTTCTGTCCTGCCACACCCCTTCTGTCCTGCCACACCCCTTCTGTCCTGCCACACCCCTTCTGTCCTGCTACACCCCTTCTGTCCTGCCACACCCCTTCTGTCCTGCCACACCCCTTCTGTCCTGCTACACCCCTTCTGTCCTGCCACACCCCTTCTGTCCTGCCACACCCTTTCTGTCCTGCCACACCCCTTCTGTCCTGCCACACCCCTTCTGTCCTGCCACACCCTTCTGTCTTGCCACACCCCTTCTGTCCTGCTACACCCCTTCTGTCCTGCCACACCCCTTCTGTCCTGCCACACCCCTTCTGTCCTGCTACACCTCTTCTGTCCTGCCACACCCCTTCTGTCCTGCCACACCCCTTCTGTCCTGCCACACCCCTTCTGTCCTGCCACACCCCTTCTGTCCTGCCACACCCCTTCTGTCTTGCCACCCCTTCTGTCCTGCTACACCCCTTCTGTCCTGCCACACCCCCTTCTGTCCTGCCACACCCGTTCTGTCCTGCCACACCCCTTCTGTCCTGCCACACCCCTTCTGTCCTGCTACACCCCTTCTGTCCTGCCACACCCCTTCTGTCCTGCTACACCCCTTCTGTCCTGCTACACCCCTTCTGTCCTGCTACACCCTTCTGTCCTGCCAACCCCTTCTGTCCTGCCACACCCCTCTGTTCTGCTACACCCCTTCTGTCCTGCTACACCCCTTCTGTCCTGCTACACCCCTTCTGTCCTGCCACACCCTTTCTGTCCTGCCACACCCCTTCTGTCCTGCCACAACCCCTTCTGTCCTGCTACACCCCTTCTGTCCTGCCACACCCCTTCTGTCCTGCTACACCCCTTCTGTCCTGCTACACCCCTTCTGTCCTGCTACACCCCTTCTGTCCTGCCACATCCCTTCTGTCCTGCCACACCCCTTCTGTCCTGCCACACACCCCTTCTGTCCTGCCACACCCCTTCTGTTCTGCTACACCCCTTCTGTCCTGCTACACCCCTTCTGCCTTGCCACACCCCTTCTGTTCTGTCACACCCCCTTCTATCTTGCCACACCTTTTCTGCCTTGCCACACCCTCTCTGTGTTACATGATCAACAGGTGGGGAGCAACGCCTCCACCCCCTCCCTCCCTCATCCCCACACGTCTATCCATACCTCCCTTTACTTCCCATCTCACTCTCTCTCTCTCTCTCTCTCTCTCTCTATCTATCTATCTATCTATCTATCTATCTATCTATCTATCTATCTATCTATCTATTCCTCCCTCTCTCCCTCCCTCCCACCCTACCTCTCAACCTCCCCCCTCCCTCCCTCGCATACTCCCTCCCTCCTTCTCTTACTCCCTCCCTCCCTCCCTCACCACAAGAAAGGTTACATAGGAAACTCCTTACGCTTCCCTTCCGGCCCTTATCAGCACCTCTTCTGGGAGGGGGAAGGGAAGTGAGGGAGGGGGAGAACGGGGAGGGAGAGGATGGGGAAGGGGGCGGGGAGGGGGAGGACAGGGAGGGGATAAGAGAGTGAGGGAGGGTGGAATAGTAGTCCCTCTCCTTCCTACTCTTCCTCCTACTCTTCCTCCTACTCTTCCTCCTTCTATTCCTTTTCTTCCTTCTCCACCTCTTCCACCACGTCCACCTCCTCCTCCTTCTCCTCCACCTCCTCCTCCTTTTCTCATAGCTAAGATGTTTATAGATATCTATTTTGGTGCTCATTTCTATACGATAGTGACAAGTTAGCTTCATGTGCTTCTTCCCATCTTTATCGAGTCTTTCCTGTGCCTAGGGAAGAGAGATGGAGGAAACTAAGAGGAAGAGAAAAAATCAAGAGTAATAAGTCTAGAGAGAGAGAGAGAGAGAGAGGGAGAGAGAGAGAGAGACAGAGAGAGAGAGAGACTTACGTCCAATATTCTTCAGCAGGTGTAGTGGTCTTGTTAAGGGGGGCGGCGCTCCCCGCCCCAGGATACACCTCCGTCAGGTTATCAAAGAACAGGTTGTTGTAGTCTTCATCCAGGATGACGGTAGTGTTGTCTAGGTTCTCCAGTGCTCCCTTGTTGCCGATCTGACCACAAAATACTTTAAATTTAGTTAACAGTACTACTGTCACCACTGGTATGCAATAAGATCACAGTAAACAGGTGATATCACAATATCCAGAACAAACACTGTGGAAAAATAGTGAAATTCCAAGCTCTCTCGTGGAGAAGAGTTTTGCTCTGTGGAGAACAACTCTTCTCCAAGAGCAATAGAGATGCGGTAAAGATGCAATAGAGATGCAGTAGAGATGTGAAGACGATGTAATCGTCTTCACATCTCTACTGCATCTGCTCATTCATCTGTACTCGACCTTCATAACTAGGGATGCCAAGCCCATGATGATTCTCTTCAAATCGCTTCTTCTCTCTAGGCAGGAATACTGCTGTACAAGAACTGCCCTCTTCAAGGCAGGCGAAACTGTTGACCTGGAGAGTGTATACAGAACTTTGACGGGACACATAAGTACGATAAGGCACCTAAATTACTGGGAACGGTTGAAGTCCCTTGATTTGTATTCCCTGGAATGCAAGCGAGAAAAATTCTAATCCACCACAAGGCCTGGTCTCAGATCGGGCTGCGGGGGCGTTTGCCCCCGATACCCTCTCCAGATATACTCCAGGTAGACTAAAGAAGCCTACTATGTAGACGGAACTTTCTGGAATAAAGATACCTAACTGTTGGACATGTATCTTAATTTATCAAGACCAGTTAGCTTAAAGAAAAAATGCGAACTCAATCTCTATGGTCTAGAGTAATTCTCTTTCACTCTGGGGAAAAGCTTGGAATTTTAGTTTGTAAAGTTCACTCGAGAGAACGGTAGAAAAAGTTTCTGAATATATATTGGAATAATTGAAAATCTAAAGTTCAGTCTCTCGGCGCTTTCTCTGTGTTGCTGTTGTGGTACTCACCTATATGTGGTTGCTGGGGTTGAGTCACAGCTCCTGGCCTCGCCTCTTAGTTGGTTACTACTCTCTCCTCGGCTCCAAGAGCCTTATTGTCCCTCTTCTGAAAGCCATGTATGGATCCTGCCTCTGCTACTTCACTCTCCAGATTGTTCCACTTCCTGACAACTTGCTCCTGTGCCCCATCTCTGAAATATTCTGCCCCTGTTTACCTCGTCAGTTCCGCTTAGTATTTTGTATGTCGTTATCATGTCTTCCTTATTCCTCCTGTGTCATCAGGCTGAGTTCCCTTAATCTATCCTTATACACCATTCCCTGTAGTTCCGGGAGAAGTCATGTTGCAAACTTTTCCCTTTCTCTAATTTCATGACGTGTGTGTGTGTACTCACCTAGTTGTGGTTGCAGGGACCGAGTTACAGCTCCTGGCCCCGCCTCTTCACTGGTTGCTACTGGGTGACTCTTCCTGCTCCATGAGCTTTATCATACTTCTTCTTAAAGCTATGTATGGATCCTGCCTCCACTGCATCACTCCCCAGACTATTCCACTTCCTGACTACTCTGTGATTAAAGAAATACTTCCTAACATCCCTGTGATTTATCTGAGTCATCAACTTCCAACTGTGTCCCCTTGTTGCTGTGTCCCATCTCTGGAACATTTTGTCTCTGTCCACCTTGTCGATTTCTCTCAGTATTTTATATGTCGCTATCATATCCCTCCCTCTCTATCCTGTCTTCCAGTGTCGTCAGGTCGATTTCCCTTAACCTCTTCTCGTAGGGCATATCCCTTAGCTCCGGGACTAGTCTTGTTGCAAACCTTAGCACTTTCTCTAGTTTCCTTACGTGCTTGGCTAGGTGTGGGTTCCAAACTGGTGCTGCATACTCCAGCATGGGCCTAACATACGCAGTGTACAGGGTCCTGTGTACTCACCTAGTTGTACTCACCTAGTGTATGTGTATGTGTTTGTGTGTGTGTGTGTGTATTCTCCTACTTGTACTCACCTATTTGTGGTTGTAGGGGTCGATCGTAACTCCTGGCCCCGCCTCTTCGCTTGTGTGTTCTTACCTATTTGTGATTTTGTGTCTGCTCGCATTTAACTATAATCTTCTGCCTCTTCCCTTCAGCTTTGTGCCTTTCTCCACTTCCTCCTCCTCCTCCTCCTCCTCCTCCTCCTCCTCCTCCTCTTCCTCCTCCTGCCTCACCTCTCTGCAGTTTGGGGTGTTCCATTCGTTGTTGCAGTTGGTCCAGGGAAGATCCGTAGTGAAGGAGGCAAAGAAGAAGCGCAGACTCCAGGCAAGGATCACATTGTAGAAGAAGTCGACGTAAAAGGCGATACACACCACCTGGTACCCCACTCCTGGAAGGTAGAGTGAGGGTGTTAGTACCTGGTACTCCACTCCTGGAAGGTAGAGTGAGGGTGTTAGTACCTGGTATCCCACTCCTGGAAGATAGAATGTGTTAGTACCTGGTATCCCACTCCTAGAAGGTAGAGCAGGGCATTAGTGCCTGGTACGTCACACCTGACAGTGTCACTGTCTGGAACACCACATACCACGAGGCACTACTGTTTGGAATCCTATTCACCTGGAGATACCACTGCCCGGAACTGCTCAGCTAAACATCTAGAGAGCAGAGGAAAGTCACAGTACATTAATACCTCACATTCAAAAGGAATGATATCATAACCATAATTTTCGAAGAGGTGGAACTGCAAGCCAGAAGAAGGCCTCAGTCAAGTGATCAAAAGCTGCTGTAGGTCATCATGTGACTAAGACCCGGGCCAGGAAACACTTGTCCTGTTTCCTGACAAACCTTACCTAACCTTGTACAGGAAACTTATCCAGTCTGGAAAACAAAGCAGGTTAATAAAGGCCATGACGGACCCAAACGCCACTCACTTGAAATTTGCAAGCTCTTGGTTTGTTAAGAAAAAATTTTTTTTTCCTGAAGCTACATACTTGGAAGAATGTTAGATGTGGAGCAGTGATTGCCTGAAGTCTCACACATGCGCCTCAGTTCAAATATATTGTCTGGAAATTCCTCTCCTTTAGTCTGATCACATGACTTATGTCCTGCGCACCTCCCTACTCACCCAACCTATTTAGCAAATTACTTGTTGATAATGGTATAAAATACCTACAAGTTGATGATTAAGATACGTGTACAACAGTTGGGTATCTTTATTTTTGAAATGTTTCTCCTACATAGTAGACTTCTTGAGTCAAATAAATATGATGTAATCAGTCCATCAAACTTGGAGAAAAACTATGTGAGGTGGTCAGTCCCTCAGCCTGGAGAAGAGTTTAGCTCCATGGTCTGGAAAGACACTTGGCCTATTGTGTATGGAAAGAGAGAGAGAGAGAAAGAGAGAGAGAGAGAGGGAGAGAGAGAGGGAGAGAGAGAGAGAGAGAGAGAGAGAGAGGAGAGAGAGAGGAGAGAGAGAGAGAGAGAGAGAGAGAGAGAGAGAGAGAGAGAGAGAGAGAGAGAGAGAGAGAGAGCTAGAGAGAAGGAGAAAGAGAGAGAGTACTCACCTGTTTGTACTCACTTATTTGTGGTTGTAGAGGTTGATTCACAGCTGCTGGCCCCGCCTCATCGTTGGTCTCTACTAGGTTCACTCTCTCCCTGATCCATGACCTTAATCGAACCTCTTCTTAAAGCTATGTATGGATCCTGCCTCCACTACATCACTCTCCAGACTGTTCCATTTCCTCACAACTCTATGACTGAAGAAGACCTTCCTAACATCTGACCGACAACCAACTTCCAGTTGGTTGGTTGGTCAGGTTTGTCAGGAAACAGGACAAGTGTTTCCTGACGCGGGACTTAGTCATATGATGACCCACAGCTGGAGCTTTTGGTCATCTGAAGGAGACCTTCCTCTGGCTTACCGGTCCACCCCCTTTAAAAATTATGGTCATAGTTATAACCATTTTTGTTCCTTCAACTTCTAGTTGTGACCCTTTGTTGCTGTGTCACATCTTTTAAACATTCTGTCTCTATCCACCTTGTCAATTCCACTCAGTATTTTATAAGTCGTTATCATGTCGTTCCCCCCTATCTTTGATATCCTCCAGTGTTGTCAGGTTGAGTTCCCTTAATCTCTCCTCGTAGGACATATTCCTCAGCTCCGGGACTAGTCTTGTTGCAATCCTTTGCACTTTCTCAAATTTTTTGACTTGTTTGACGAGGTGTGGGTTCCATACTGGTGCTACATACTCCAGTATTGGCCTGACGTACACGGTGTGCAGTGTCGTGAATGACTCCTGCCCTTGATGTCAACACGCTATTTTCAGGCTTGCCAGGCGCCCATATGCTTCATCAGTTATTTAGTTGATGTGTGCCTCAAGAAATGTGCTGGGTATGATGCTCACCCCAAAATACTTTTCTTTGAGTGAGTTTTGCAGCCTTTGACCTCTTAGTCCGTATTCCGTCTACGGTCTTCTTTGTCCTTCCTCAAGCTTCATAACTTAACACTTACCAGGGTTAAACTCCAGGAGCCATTTATCGGACTAAGCTTGCATCCTGTCCAAATTTCCTTGTAGGCTTACCTGTGTGTATGTGTGTACTCACCTAGTTGTACTCACCTAGTTGAGGTTGCGGGGGTTGAGTCCGAGCTCCTGGCCCCGCCTCCTCACTGATCGCTACTATGTCACTCTCCCTGAGCCGTGAGCTTTATCATACCTCTGCTTAAAGCTATGTATGGATCCTGCCTCCACTATATCGCTTCCCAAACTATTCCACTTACTGACTACTCTGTGGCTGAAGAAATACTTCCTAACATCCCTGTAATTCATCTGTGTCTTCAGCTTCCAACTGTGTCCCCTTGTTACTGTGTCCAATCTCTGGAACATCCTGTCTTTGTCCACCTTGTCAATTCCTCTCAGTATTTTGTATGTCGTTATCATGTCCCCCCTATCTCTCCTGTCCTCCAGTGTCGTCAGGTTGATTTCCCTTAACCTCTCCTCGTAGGACATACCTCTTAGCTCTGGGACTAGTCTTGTTGCAAACCTTTGCACTTTCTCTAGTTTCTTCACGTGCTTGGCTAGGTGTGGGTTCCAATATGGGCCTAACGTACACGGTGTACAGGGTCCTGAATGATTCCTTATTAAGATGTCGGAATGTTGTTCTGAGGTTTGCTAGGCGCCCATATGCTGCAGCAGTTATTTGGTTGATGTGCGCTTCAGGAGATGTGCCTGGTGTTATACTCACCCCAAGATCTTTTTCCTTGAGTGAGGTTTGTAGTCTCTGACCCCCTAGACTGTACTCCGTCTGCGGCCTTCTTTGCCCTTCCCCAATCTTCATGACTTTGCACTTGGTGGGATTGAACTCCAGGAGCCAATTGCTGGACCAGGTCTGCAGCCTGTCCAGATCCCTTTGTAGTTCTGCCTGGTCTTCGATCGAGTGAATTATTCTCATCAACTTCACGTCATCTGCAAACAGGGACACCTCAGAGTCTATTCCTTCCGTCATGTCGTTCACAAATACCAGAAACAGCACTGGTCCTAGGACTGACCCCTGCGGGACCCGCTGGTCACAGGTGCCCACTCTGACACCTCGCCACGTACCATGACTCGCTGCTGTCTTCCTGACAAGTATTCCCTGATCCATTGTAGTGCCTTCCCTGTTATCCCTGCTTGGTCCTCCAGTTTTTGCACCAATCTCTTGTGTGGAACTGTGTCAAACGCCTTCTTGCAGTCCAAGAAAATGCAATCCACCCACCCCTCTCTCTCTTGTCTTACTGCTGTCACCATGTCATAGAACTCCAGTAGGTTTGTGACACAGGATTTCCCGTCCCTGAAACCATGTTGGCTGCTGTTGATGAGATCATTCCTTTCTAGGTGTTCCACCACTCTTCTCCTGATAATCTTCTCCATGATTTTGCATACTACACATGTCAGTGACACTGGTCTGTAGTTTAGTGCTGTGTGTGTGTGTGTGCGTGTGTGCGTGTGTATGTGTTTGTGTGTGTGTGTGTGTGTGTGTGTGTGTGTGTGTGTGTGTTTGTGTGTGAGTGTGTATGTGTTTGTGTGTGTGTGTGTGTGTGTGTGTGTGTGTGTGTGTGTGTGCGTGTGTGAGTGTGTATGTGTTTGTGTGTGTGTGTGTGTGTGTGTGTGTGTGTGTGTGCTACATTAATGACAAAATAACAAAAGGAATAATGGTCAGGAGTACGAGTAATTACTGAGCAGAACAGCTGGCGTGCATGTTCAGCCAGCAGCTGGGAGCGGTGTTGTGTACACGCTGGTGAAGTGGGGAAGGCAGGACACTCTGAGATACAAGGAACCACACGCCACTGAAGAAAGTCTGGTGCGTAGGGGTGTATGGTGGTGGTGGTGGTGGTGGTGGTGGTGGTGGTGGTGTCTTTGGACACGGGTAAATACTTGAGTCACACACACATGATATAACTGGCTATGTAGCTTTATAATGAAGGCTCCGTGTAAGTGCCCGGAGGGAGGGAGTAGAGAAGGAAGGAGAGAGGGAGGGAGGGAGGGAGGAAAGGATTTAGGGAAGAAGAGAGTAACTCTGGGAGGAAGGTAATAATTCATACGAGGGAAGAAAAAAAGGTCTATGTTCCATAGTCCTCGTGCCAACCCATTATGACACCCCCTGGCACTGGAAGAGAGACCCAGTGCCATCCTGGGCGACTTATCCGTCAGAAACTAAATGATTTAGGCAGCCAATTTAATAAACAATCTTCAAGAAAAAAAGAGTTTTCAATAAAACTCATGACTAATATAAAAGGAGACCGAGTCCATTTTATATATGTGAAAAGCAAAATTGATTCAAGTTTGATTTTGGGTAAATGTGAATCTCACAGCGTCGTAAATCCTCTTAAATTGAAGACTTGGTGTGTCATGGCCCAGTCATGCTGGCTTTAAATCCTTGTTAATTGCGTTCTTTTCTGTGGTGAATATAAATTAAAAATCTCTAATAGGTCTGTTGATATCAGCAATGGTCTGTGTTAGTTGCATTATGTCCTTGTAAAAATAAAGAATATTATTTATTTATTATTATTATTATTATTATTATTATTATTATTATTATTATTAGTAGTAGTAGTAGTAGTAGTATAGTGGCAGTACCAAATATGAATTCCCAGCTTTTGTTTTGATGTGGTCACCAAGTAGTTGGATCCACACCTCTATGTTGGCACTGGCTTAGACGAATGCAAGTCAGAACCATTTGGCTGGAATAATTGGATAGGGAAAGTGGATGCGAACAGTTGGATATAGACTTAGCGTAAAGCCAGTGTCACTACACTAATAAAGCCAACTCATGAGCCAAGCCACATGTATTTGTGTGACCTTATGCATGAAAGGACACAGGTGCGTACACTTAGGCCGCCATTGTTAGGTACGT